CACGTCCATTTGGATGACCTGCATAATGAAAACGATGAGATGTGCCCACTGCTGCATGCTGAACAAGAAACTTCATATCACCACATCACCATTCAGAAGGGGTTCTGAGAAGAGCTTCAAATCAGAGAGGTGAGATAAATGTGGTAGATACCTCAAAGGAAACAATAGAAGAAACAGCTACAGATCAATCTGAAGGTGCTGCCACTTAAGTTTCATGTCTTGCTTCCTAAGGAGAATGCTGCCCTGAGCTCTTGCCCAGCATGCAAGTTAGATATCAGCCCTGCCCTCCAACACCATTAACTCCAGGCCAGGAAGAAATCCAATCTTTTGCTCTGCTTCTTTTAACCTTGCTCAGAAAGGATTTAAGAGAAGGATATCCCATAGCATCAATCCGGCTCGTGACACAGAAACTTGGTTGTATCTTGCCCATTCCCTACGTGGTCTAGACATATTTGAACAAGTATTCAGCAACTTTCCTCCTAGAATCATAATCTGTTCCAGACAGCACAGCTGAGACACTTCAGCTATTGCACCAAATGGGTACTAGAACCATGCTCCATCCTGAAATACAGCCCCTTCCACATCCATCTGCATCAGTTTATCTAAGACACAACGCCACTTTTTTATTCTACATGTAAGACAAAATCAGATCAAAACTCCAGAAAACCATTTAAGCACCTATTTAGCTCAGGGGGAATTAAGAGCCTCACTGCATATACTGGACCTGAGCTAAAATTCCTTTCCCAGATACTCCCAACACCATCTCCAGTTAATATGCCAAGATGATGCTTGTCAGTAGGACAGCTGAGGCATGACCTTTGTGTCAGCAGTGCTATTACCAAATAGGCCTTTTGGAAATCATTTTGTAGAGTTGCAATTTCAAACTCTGGGAGGCCAAAATCACTTACACAGTCTACTTCAGATAATCTAATTAAATACTGTTATCAGATGAATTATCCTCTGAAAAATAATTATGATTAAGAGGCTGCATAATCATTCTGTAGAGAGAGCTAGCAATAATGAATTAATGTTATTTCTCTAAAGGTCAGTTTTGACAATATTTTGATGATATTTTGACATGTAGAAACTGTCCAAACACAGTCAATACAAAGAGGTTTCTTTGCTATATGGTGACCTCCTGAACCCAGCTGGAGAAGCTTAGCATTTCCCACACATTCCTATGGATTAGCATTTCCCACACATTCTGGGGACGTACTACTGAAGGTGGGCAAGGATACCACAATTCAGGTCTTTCAGGTTTGCTGCAGGCAATAGGAGGGTTGATGCAACTGATCTTTTCCATGGAATATGAGAGGGAAGATGCTCCAGAAGACACAATTTCCCCTACTTCCTCTTTGACACCAACACAGGTAAGGTAGTCTCACCAAAGACAATCCACTCCACCACGAACCAGCCCTGGTCCATCCTTCCCAGACATCCTACCACTTCTGCTTGTGAGAATGCTGACAGATGACTAGGAAACAGACTAAGCCCAGAAGGCCATGGTTCTTTCTTAATTTGAAACCACACCACAGACCTACAATGATTTACAGACTATAAGCCAAACCGCTGTGACTCTTCCTGGCCATTCTCCCAATGACCTGCTCCAAAAAAAAACACACTCCAAAGTTCTCCTCACAACCTAATGCATTGCATTCCAGCCAGGGAAGAAGTGGATCTCACCCGTGCAGGTTTATGTACATCACATTTCCTATTTAACTCCCCACATCTTGTTTTTAATCAATCTGTAGATTTCTTTTGTCAGTAGTAATTAGAGTGGAACATTTCCTTCCCCAGGGTGTAGTTCTGTAGCATAATGCTTTTCCCTAATAGAGGAGGGGGGAGAATACAGAATGTGGTGATCTGGGGTCTGAACATACGTCCATGAAATGGCAAGCTAATGAGTTAATGTCTGGGTAGAAAGCAGAGAGGGAATATGGAGAAAGCCAGAGGGTGGCTGTCTGTGAAATGGATCTCTCTTCTAGCCTCAAGTATAATGCTCTGGATACAGCAATTACTGCAAGCTGTTCCACAGACCAGATAAACAATGAATCAAAGCCAGGCTAGTGGTATCAGAACTCATGCATGAGGAAGATGCATTATAGAGCATAGTTTCAATTATTGTATTTGCCAGCTCCACTTGTGAATTCACCAGCTATGATAAATGTTATCATCCTGTTGTTTGCTCTACATTTCTCAAAGTGAACTAAAAGACAACTCATCTTGGAACTGTGAATATTAATTACCAATAAAATTGAAGCATTAATCTTTCCCCTGCCACCCCCTTTTTTTTCCTAGGTTGTTGTGCGTGTTAATGTACGGCAGCACTCCTTACACTTGCAGAAAGCAAGGTGAAGGAGGGCTTTGGGATATTTATTAATTACAATATTCACAGAAGGAGAGACAAATGAAGGCTGAAGGCTCTAGGGATACAATTTCCAGCCTAAAATTAGCAGGCAGCTTTGAATGACTGGAATCCATAACACAAAATACAGCTGCATAAATTATACAGGTTGTTGTTTTTAGGTCTTATTGCTCTCCCTTAGGTTTAGGAAACATGGTGAGCAGCAGCTGGAGACACTGACATGGTATCTAATAGTAAATAGAAAATTTTTCAGTTTCAGTAAAAGGACACAAATCAGGATTCATTGCATTGCACCAAATCAATTGGCTTCAGAGGAAGGCCCTGCCACAGCAGGCTTTAGATAAGGAAAGAGTTTGCTTATGTCCTACTGAGCTCTTCCACTTGGGAGCACCAGAAGGAGGAAATAGCATCATTAACATAACACATCCCAGAGGTCAGCACTGCTCAGGAGGGGCTGGTTGAAAAAAATCTTGGTTTCAATGGAGGTGGCAGTAAAAATCTGATTGGAGAATCAGGAACTCCAGGGATCTCCTTATCAGCAGCAGTCAGTGGAACACTGGAGTTGGTCTGGACTGAGAAGGGGACAGTCAATCTCCCAGACTGATTCTACACAGATGAAAGCGTAACAGTTCTTCGGCATCATCTTACGTCAGTTTCAACTGGAAATAACAAAACTACTTCTGCTGTTGAGAACAATTTCTTTTTTCCCAATTTTCTTTTTGCCTTCCTACTACTTCTTTTGGGTGAATATTCCTTTACCGTATTCATTATACGCACCTTACATAACTGAAAACTGCATTTTGGCAAAGGGTTCCATCAGTTTTTCTTGGGTTTAATTCAACTTCTGAGCTCTGATTAACTAGCATAGGAGTCCCAGGGCACCTGCCATCTGTAATCAATTTCTCTGTGTCATTATTCCATTTGTTTCAATTTTGGTGTATCGTTATGATGGGTAATCCTTTTCAAATGCTTTGTCTTGCTGAAGTTCCCAAAATAAAGTTTTATATCAGAGACAGATGACAGGCAGACTGGTCAGAAAGGCAATATTTCCTTTTTCAGTTCTCTGAGTGTTACATATCTTTGGCTGATGGAAGTAGTAGCGGTGTGATTCTCATTGTAATTTGTGCAATACTCCAGTCAGTAATAGTGTCTTGTTGAAATATGCATGAAAAAGTCCATAACATTAGTGTAATGGACACGCTCCAACACATCTCTCTCATCCCGCTTCCTCATAAAGATTTTCAATGACTGTCTTAATTAGATCCTAATATGAACAGGAATATTACATAAAGTTAAATGAGGACATAAACTTCAGCTAAAAGCTACTTCCACCCAAGCCCCTGCCCTCTGGTCTGTACACACCAAATAGCTCTGGAACATTTTTGTTCTCCACCTTGGTTCCACTGACTGCTTTTTTTTTTTTTTTTTTAAGCTTTCAGCAACAAATCAAGCTTTTTTTTTCTGTAATAAAAACTTTCGAATCTGTCAGAGAAAACAAGGAATTACTTTGCTTAGGTCTGATTCACAATAATCTTGATTACTGCCCTGGTATTTCATTGATTAAACCACTAGGAAACTAATGAGAAAATGTACAATACAGTAGATTAATCTGGTTACTTCCCTCTTTTCTTTTTCTTCTCTTTTTTCTTTTTTTTATAGTGTCTATTTTGTCCTAATGAGCTGCTACAGAGGAGTTCAAACAGAAGGCTACTGCTGAAGGTCACTGTACGTTTCTTCATTCATTACCTAGAAGCTATTTTGGACTCTTGAAGTAGCATCCACACACACTTTCTAAGCTGTCCCATTACAGTCATCCCTGTAAAGCAGATACATGTACAAAGTTCTGGCAAAGCAGTGCCACTTAGATCAGTCAGGATCTCCTTACACAGTAATGAAGGCCAAGTGGAGACTCGTGCCTGCATTGTTCTGTTAAGTTTCCTCTTTCCTTCTCATATCACAGCATGCTCAGTCAAAGCTATTTTGGTGCTTCACTGATCAAACTGATTTTTCCCTTTGATGATAATATGAAATATGATAGGATAATAGGGTTGTTATATAATCAAAGTCGACAGCAGGGAGCTAAATTTGTGTTGTTTTGATGAAGAGCACGTTAGTGTGACATAAATAGACTAATCTGATTTATTATTATTATTTCTAATGCTTAATAATAGGGAAGGGTAGGGGAAATGAGACTCTGGGGAATAAGAGTGCATCACAAAGTGATAGCAGATATTAGGATGTCTAGTCATAAGCAGCACTACTACTACCTGCTTCTAGCTGAGTTTCAAAGGAGTGAGTAGAGAGCAAGAGAAGTTGTTCTGAAAGAAATAGTGTCTTGAATAGAATAAAACAAATCAGATACTAGAGAAAATATTCTGTGAAAAGCAGTGTTGTGGGAAGAAAACTGTTATTCATACTGGGTAATAAGGAGTCACAAATGGAATTGACAAAAGTCAGCTCACCTTTCACTGACTGATTTTTCATGTCTAACTGAAAAACTGGGATTAACCTGGGATGAAAGCTTCCCTTTCATGATGATGTCTGTTCCAGTTCCAGGCAGACCAAGTCAGTATTCACACATCAGTCAAGAGCCACGAAAATGACTAAAGAGAGAGACATATTTTGCCTGGTGTACTGAGTTCTTGTGCCTCTGGTTGCTCACAAAGCAAAGTCCTGCAGGAGTCTCCTTGCAAAGGAAAGAGTTTCCACGTCACTTCAAAATCCTATGTGTAACAAAAGAACAGATTGGACAGAAATGTGGGCTCTTCAGTCAGAAAATAAAAATAAAAAAACATATTTGAAAATCCCAAGGAATGCAGATACATTCAAGCAAAACACTTTCCCACATACACACTCATTACAGCTTTTAGACTTAAAAGTATGGCTATGGACATCTACTCTGGCTCCTTCATATCAACATACACAGATTTCTTCAACTACTTCTATAAACTTCAACTAAGCTAAAGTAGAGCTATTATAAAGCCATTGAGTTTTAATGTAAAGAGTCTAAGTGGCAGATAACCCACGACATGCTGAGGTAAGTTTCTCCCCTGGTTAAATACCCCATGTATTAAAATTTACTCTTCATATGTGGCTCCAGAGGGAAGATTTAGTAACAAATTAAATAATGTATGTGAAGTTTTGAACATGATTTACAGGACACTTAAAGACTATTTTTACATGCAGTAGAAATAGTGATTTCTTCTTAAAGGAAAAGAGAAAAAAGGTTAACCAATGTTTTATAAGATGAAACTGCCTTTTTTCTGTTTAAAGGTTTCACTAAAAGTCCTGTTACAAAAATTCTCCTTTGCCAGGCAGACAGAATTCCACCTGACACATGATATAGACGTCTAAATTCCAGGCATTTGTTTTCTTATCTCCATATCAGCAAAAAAGATCTGCATTTATTTGCACTTCAGGGATGACACAGGCAAAGATGAAGCAAGTGAATTTGGAGAGCACTGTGAACCCCGTGGGCTACTCTCACAGGAACCAGCTTCTAGGTAGCAAACACTAGAGGGGGTTTAATACATCCTGAAACTGCTTTTTTAGGTATGTTTGCTTCAATACTTTTGCCATCAGCATTTGCCATAGCACACGGCACTGGCAGCGCAGCATTAATGCCCCGAGCATGCCCCACACATTACTCTGAAAAAGTCCATCCTCATCCATCCTCATTAAGAATCCTAAGATGTTTCTTCACTAACCTTAATGGAGGATTTCATGCCACAGCAATTTCTAAGCCCAAAGGAAGCTGCATAGAGGAGTCAAAGTCATGGATAACTTGCTTTTCATTTACTTGTTGAAAGGCAGACGTGAAGAACGTGAACATATTTGATAGTTAATAATTTAAAGCCAAGTAGAAGAGAACAGAGGAGGAATGACATTCCTTATTTCTCCCTATTAATGGTCCTTATAGGTACCTCTTTGAAAGGATATCAACATCCATCAGCACACAGAGCTCAGAGTTTTAAGGGTAAAAAAAAGGATTATTGCTTTTACACTGAGAGCACGAAATGGTAGAATCGGCAGGAAGTGATTAGTGCCAAAAAGAGATGGAGTTTGTATGGCAAATTAACACAGAAAGCAATTCAAAAGATAGAATTAAATCAGAGACAAAGGTGTAGGTTTATAAAACTCCCAGTCCTATCCTTGTAAAATCAAAGATAAATCTCCAAAAGCACTAAATCCCATGTAATCATTGCAAATTCCTATTGTCTTAAAGGGGAGCTGGATTAGGCCTCTAATTCAGTTCTATAAAGTCTGTTTGGTCCAGATGAACAACTGAGAGATGGACAATGTCCAAGGAACAGCTCTACAACATGGTCTCAACATCCTCCACTGCAACTTGCCAAGGCAACCACTCCCACTGTTACCCTCCAAACACTGGAGTAAAGCTATTTTTGCCCATAACTGCTAAATGCATTTTACCTTTGCCTAGCAAAAAAAGCAATGTCACATCTAATCTCACAAGTTCCCAGTGAGCCAAACACAAGATACTGTCCCTTGAATTCTTCCTGAGACCAACAAAGGCTTTCCATTATTTACAAATCAAAAGCATTTAGAGACAATCATCTTCAGTTTTTATTTAAAACAAGGAATGCCCTGTCACTATTATATAAGAAAAAATATACATCCTCCTATTATACCCATCTTAACCAAGCATTCCAAAAAATATAATTCCTATTCATGCAGGTAATTGCTGCACAAAATAATAATAATAATAATAATAATAATAATAATAATAATAATAATAATTTATAAATAAAATTAAAATACCAAAATACACTCTTTTGTTCCAACAATTCTCCCAATTTATCTTAAAAATTCCACTTACAAATTGTTGGAACAGTTGAAAATTTTAAAATTAAATATAGTTAAATCAATAAGATTATTTGCTTTTGATTATTAATTCCATTGCTAGTTTTTCTTGTGTTTTATTATGCATACCAGTTTTACAAAGTGCATGCTTTATTTTTTTTTTTTAATTTTGAACTGGCAAGCTAAAATGATCCATCTTTTCCTGCCTTTTTTAAATGTTAATACAATCTAAAATCTAGCATTAAAAAATTTATCATGATACATCTGGTACATTGACTGCTTATGGCGCATGCTCGTCTTGGCAAAAAAAAACCAAAACAAATTGGCTCCCCTCCCACCCTCCCCGTTCCTTTTTGGAAGCAATCTAAAAAGCAGGCTGGAACACAATTGCTTCAAGGGCAAAAAAAAAATAAAATAATACCTGATGCTTTAATTTTTGTCACATGGCACTAGTTGTGGAATTGCACCCGCGCACACACACACACACACCCGACACACACGCAAAGCACACACCCATGCTGCAACCTGCTCGTGAGGAAAAAAAGTTTTGTTAGGTCAGGAGTGCCAGTGGCACATGAAGGCTCCCAGCTGTATGTGCAACTTTGGATTTGGTACCCACTTCACGTCACCTTGAATCCTCTGACATCCACCGAGGGGGTAATGTAAGGCATACTTTGCTGGAACAGTAATAATCCATGCTTCATGCTCAAGAGCTGAGTCTCAGAGGAGGACTGGCTTGCTCTATTCCCTTTGGCCTCACTCTCTCACTCAAGGAACAAAAAAACCCAAAACAACAGAGAAGAACTGGGGAAAACAAGGAAAGCAAAAGACAAATCCCTTTAAATGGACTTTCGCCGTTTCATCAGCCTATGGTTATCTGTAAAGCTGTGCAACCCAGGTGAGATGGAGCTGACAGGAGATGGGAAAAGGCTGTTTTTTAATGTGCTTGGCGAGATCTCCTCTATCTTGTAAGAGATGGAGTGAAAGTACTGGGGGTTCAGCTTTGAGCTGAAAGAATTTTGGTGGGACACCACCCGGCTGGTGTACTCGTGGGACCTGTAACACATGCAGGAACAAACTGACTGAAGGTCTGTTACTTCGGCCTTGTACCGTGGCCGACCATGCTGGGAGTCCTCTTGGATGTGGATAATCATGCTGTTGCGGTTCCCTGCCAGGGACGCCCGTTCCTCAGCATCCCGCCTCTCATCCTCACTGTTCATGGTCAAGAACCTGAGAACAACCAGATTTAGAAATGCCCCAATAACTGTCAACCCCACTAGAATGTACATAAAGCTAAAAGCCACGTAGAGAGGCTTCTTTTGAAGGGCCCCTTTGGTCTGCAGGGCCACATAGTCTCCAAACCCTATCGTAGTCAATGTTATAAAGCAGTAATAGTAAGCATGGAAAAAGCTCCATTCCTCATACTGGGAAAAGGCTGCTGCTCCAATGCAGAGTGTTCCCATGCAGGAGAAGAAACCCACAGTGACCATGTTTTCCATGGAGACCTCGGTGCTCCTCATCCCACAGCACTTTTTGATGCGTTTCAAGAGGTACTTGACAAAGGTGTTCATGCGCTCGCCCAGGCTCTGGAACATGACGAGTGTCAGTGGGATCCCCAGGACCGCGTAGAACATGCAAAAGGCCTTCCCTGCGTCCGTCCCTGGGGCAGCATGTCCGTAACCTGGGAGAGAGGATGAAAACACAGCACAGTCAGCAAGGCAGGCGATGACCACAGTTCCCCCTTCACACAAGCCACGTGAATCACAGAGGCTCTGATGCCACAGCCAGATCCAAAGCTACAGGAACACTGCAGTCACACGATCTTCTGATACCTCCTCCCCCACATCCTGTGTCTGAAGTAAATAAGACACAAGACAACAAAGTTGTTCACACAGAAATGGGAAAGAGGAAAGAATGGGCAATCCCTCCTACCTCAAACAATGTTCAATCTCCTAAACAGGATTATATCACATTAATTCACTGAAGAAGTTTCATGTCCGTCCTGTATCATATGCAATAGTGGAAACTTTGGAAATAGATGGACTTTCCCGTTGTGTTTTTGAGGGTAGTTGCCCTGTCCCAAAACCAGAGTACACTCATGGCATTCAAGTTCTGTGTCTGCTGATAGTGTGGAGTTACAACATCCACAGACGCACAAACCAAATAAATTCCTTTTCAAACTCTTCCATACTGAATAAGCCTTTCTCCTTGACGCCTTATGAAAGTCATTGCTGGAACACCATAGGAGTTTAGGGATTTAATGTTTTTTCTGTCTTTCATTACTGAAGAATAAACAACTTATCAGCTTGTTCCATAGTTTTGCAGCTTTGACAGAATCGCAAAGGCAATTTCACCGGGATGTTAAACTAATCCAGGAGAGGATGTACCACATTTTACAGCATAGTTTACTGATGACAAAATCATAGCTAAGTCTTTATTCTAAAACAAACCATAAATGGGGGTCTGTTTTGAAATCGTAATTTCACTTTTTCATATCACACTGCTTTAAAAATTTACATTCCTTATAGCTGAGATTCTGAGGTATGGTACCAAAGTCTCCAAAAAAGCCATGGTATGTGTTGACCATATGGGTACCACCATCTAGAGTCCCTTTAAAGTCTGTGAGTAGAAATAATGTACTTCAAAAAGGCAGCTCCTCTTATGTACACAGAAGTGTCTAAAACAGTCAATAAGTTATTCTCAGTAGACAACTATTTCTCTAAAATCATTATAATAGAAATCTTGGGACAGAACTCAATTCAAGATTAATATATCTAATATAATATATTTGCTGCTCTGAATTTGTCTAATCCTTTTTTGAAACGATTGACACTGCAATCTCCTCAATCTCCTGTGGCAACAAATTCCAGAAGTTCACTATCTACAATGTAAAAAAGGTATTTTATAATTTCAAGCAGATCTCCTTGTTTCAGCTAGTGCCCCTTAGTTCCAGTACTGAAGTTCTACATCTACCTATCTATCACAGCCATTTCAACTCGATAGCAGAAGTCACATTCCCTGGAACATTTCAATGTCCTTGTCTGGATCTTTCATAGCTCTACCACATCATTTTTGAGTCCAGGAGCCAGAACCCTGCATACCCCTCACGATGTGGATGCACCACAGAGTCTACAGTTTTAACTAGAACTAAAACATGAACACAAGGAAACCTTCAAAATGTAAAGCAACAGGGGACAAGGAAAATAAAACAAGAAAGTCAGACAAGAATTCCCTCCAAAAAGCAACAGGTATTTCCATAGCTCAGTTGCTAGTTGTTGACAGACGGGTGGGATGTAAAAATGAATTTATAAAAGAACCACAGAACTCAAAATAGGAGATTCTTTTTTCAGGTTACAAAAGAAAGAGATTCACCTGTTGTATTGAGCCAGGTAGCCTGTTCATCATGAAAAGCAGTTTCCAAATTACCTGGAAAGGGAAGTGTCTTCAATACATTGATGATGGGTTAGTTCTACCTGACTGTCCCTCAATAAAGCCTATAATTGCCTCTCATTACTAAGACTAGCTTTTGAACTACAGAGGTGTTAATTAAACCAGGAACATCTTCCCATTTTATAGCTTTAGTTACAGATGATAAAGAGAAGGAAAGCTTCAGAAAATGTGATTTTCCAGATGGTTGCAGAGATAGCAGTTGGTGGAAACAAGTTTCACTTTGTGTTCTAAAAAATGATTGGAGTGAAAAAAGATTTCTTTTGATATCACTATATCCTTCTCATTAAAGATATCCCCAGAGACACTTTAGAAAGATTATAAAACATTAATATTATATGCTTATACACTATCTCACAATTGAATTTCTAAGATTTGTCACAGACTTCGTAATTATATATCCCATAAGATAGGAATATATCCATATCCCTGTGTTACAGATAGGGAAGCACAGACACCAGCAGGCTTTAATTCCCCTCCAATTCACATAGGTAGATAGAATATCCAGAAATTTTGATTTCTATTCTGCCCCAAGTCATTCTCACTTTCCCTTAATATCAGATGAACGTCTTTTTTACTGTTTTCTCACCATGAATCTGGGGTGAAGAAAGGACTTTATTCATGAAGCTGGAATAAGACTTTACAAATAGATTCATATAAGAGGATCAGAATCACATATTTCTCCTATACAACACAGTTTTAAGGAATAGGCACCTTAGTCATTGCCTTCAACTCTCTGAAATAAGGGAATACAAGAGAAAATACACCAAAGAAAGACTCAACTCTGCATTACTTAAGCATTACAGAATCTATCCAACAATATACAGAGTAACTCATGGAAAGCAAACTGCGGCAGTGAATGCTCTGTGAAATTCAGTAAACTTCAAATCTAGAACAAATCACTGTTTTCTTAACATCAGAAACCGCCTTTGGAAAAAATGGGAAGGCCGGTAAGTGTCAGAGGAAGAGGGGTACAAGGGATCATTAACACTAGGAAAGGATACAGTTCATGAGGTCAGTCTCCAAGTAGCTGGGTTTTACTTGCGTCAAGTAAAGGCAGAAGCAACTGCCTTGGAAGCAGATTCCAGCTACCTGAATTCATCCTAATTTCCTCTGCATGAATGCCCCTGCCCTTTAGCAGAGTATAAAGAGATGACTCTGTGTCATCCATAAGAAGCACAAGGTTTAAAGAGAAATGGAAAGGTTAAGTGTGACATCAGGTTTTCTTTCTCTTCTGTGGTAAAGAAGATTGAATAGAAGACCTTAGAACTGAGTATAGGAAATGCATTCCCTGACAAGCTGAGATAATGAGAAAGGTATAGATGGAGTTTTTCATTGGACCACACCTAGGTAAATACTGTCTGTACTACTCTAGTAAGAGTTTACCAAGGTTCCCACAGTACAGCAGCGTGACCACAGCCGGCAGGTTTGTCCGATATTTAATTAGATGTAATTTGAATGATCAAGGACAGACTAAATTACTCTCACCTAGATTGGAGGCAATGTCATTAGTTCTCTCTCTGTCTTTTATAATGCCTCCCAGCTCCTTAGGCCTTCATGACAGAGCTTATCTGGGTTGGTATCAAGAAGAACAGCTTGGCAAGAAGAAATGTGTCTCAGAGTGTTACTCCAGTTCTGGACTGTGGAGCACCAATACACCACAAAAGCCATCTCTCCCAATCCATGGAATGTCTGGGATACAGAAATCAAGTTGAACTGCAGGAAGGTATAGGCAAGGGAGAAAAAGAATCAGACTGTAAGGGCTGACACCAAATGTTGTACTCTGCTGGGGTCTTCCCTGCCTTTGATTTTTCCAAGCCTTGTCCATTCTCTGATGGAAAACTCTCAAAGATTCTGATCCACTCAACCTTCTTCAAAGATTCTGATCCACTCAACCTTCTTCAAAGTTTATTTTTCCATGGTGCCTTTTAGACAAGACACAGAGTGAAACTCCTCATTACAATCTCTGTGAGGTCCATTTGGAGGGACAACCCCAACAGCTTTCTCTTTCTTGTAAAGGGACATTGTGCTGGTGTACCAGCCCACTACCAGAATGTGCAGAGGAACATAGCACACAGGTACCCTGAATCCAACAGTAACCACAAGCAGATGGCTGAGGAAGAGTATAAGAATAGTATATATACACATGACTTTTTCCCCACGAATTCATATACCCAGCTTCATTATTTGGTGCTCAGGGATTTCCTAAGTCAGACAAGGTTTGGCTGATTTTAGTAACACACGATGGATTTCTCTTCCATGAGTTTGGGCATTGTCCCTTCAACGTGTATGAACCTCCTGCACCTGCAACATCCTGTGGCAAGAAGGTTCATAGATCAACCATGTGTTCTTTGAAACACCTGCCATTGCTTCTTTACTTCTCTTTCATTACTATCAACTGATGGTAATGTTATCTCCTCCTCTATGGAAGAGACCAGGAACAATCATTCCCTATTCCCCTTCTTTGTGCCATTCATGGTTTTATAGACATTTTATCAACAAATATGCTGTGTTGTATTCAGGCCCTAAGCAAGTATCCCTGGCACTCTGTAGCCTCACATGGACAGACCAGCTTGCTTAGATCCACATCAGTGATCTTTGCACCACGCTCAGGTGCAGGGTACAGACAGGTCTGCAACATCTGCCTTGTTCTCCAACACAGATTCTCTGGAATAACACTCTGCTTCTGGAGCAAAAAGGGTCTTTATAAACAATTTCATGCTACTGCAATGATGTAGACTGCCCAGAATAAGACAATCCATAACAAAAATAAAATATAATGGGAAAAAATTTGGAATACTTTTAGTGTGTTGCATCTACACAGTAACCATCTCCAGCACTGCAAGGCAGTATCTACTCTAGAAAACTAAACTGGCCTGAAGTCCTGCCAGGGGAGGTTTAGGTTAGATACTAGAGAAAACTACTTCATGGAAAGGGACGTATAGCATTGGAACAGATTGCCCAGGGAAGTAGTAGAATGTTAAAAAAAATGTGGATGTGGCACTTGAGGACATGGTTTAATGTCTTCAAGTGGTGCTGGGTCGACAGTTGGACTTCATGATCTTAAAAGTCTTTCCCAGCCTTAACAATTCTATGATTCTGAGGATGAATTCCACTATCAACCCATGATGCTTCACTCTTAAATCATCAGAACAGTTCCCATTATGGCTTCACCCTGGAATAACCAGCACTGTCCCAGACAAAGTCCATGCCTGATCTACCCATGGAGGTTGA